AAAATTGAAAGCATGTTTTTCAAATAAAATTTTAATACAATAATAATAATAATTTCATATTTTTTGCAATATTTCTCTAAAACAGTCCAAAAAATTCCAAAGTAWGTCGAAAATTGTATTATTTTTGTATTTTTCGAAAGTTTTTAACCCGAAATCTTTTTTTTGTTAAAACTAGCAAAATAGATCTAAATTGATATTATTTCAGCTCGATTTAGTTCGTTTTTGAACCAAAGACTCATTTATTTTGAAAAATCTTCTCAAAAAACGCTTAAAAATTACAAAAAAAAACAAAATTTATGAAAATTTCATTGTTTCACTCGATTTAACTTATTTTTGAATAAAAATTGGTCAAAAACAAGCAAAGAAAACACAAAATTTGGTCAGAAAATAATGTTATTTTCACTTTATTTAAACTTTCAAGCATATTTTTCAAATGAAATCTCAGGTTTTTTCGCAAGATTTCTATATAAAATAAATAACGCAAAAAATCACTACAATTATATAATTTTTGTATTTTTCTAGTATTTTAACACACTTAGTTAGAAACATAATGATTTTGCAATCACAAGCCGAAAATGGACCAAATTAAGCTAAAAATTGTGTTATTTTTTACTTTTTCAAATATTTGAGCACGTTTTTGATTTGGGTGCGTTAACAGCCTAGTGTATTTTTTGTTTTCAATGTTGGTGACAATTTCAATAGGAAAAATAGTATAAAACACAGTTTAGGGCATTTTTTGTTTTTAGTGTTGGTAACAATAAACCACCAATTACTCGAATTTTCGGTGGCGAACTTGATTTCCAAACCACGCACAATGACAAATGTGAGTTTGAGTTGAATTGTTGCCAACTAAGTGTCACCAAAATTCCCTAAACTATAAAAAATAGTTATACTTTAATATATTATTTTCAGGTCTCCGAAGTTTGATCGTGATGATGTGTTTGAACGCCGAAGTGGTGTATAATTCGCTACCAGGAGCAAGAAAAAGACACACAGTTTGTGTTTTAACATTTTGTCTCCTAATCTACCTCGGTGCTATTTTCCTCTCAACAAGAATCGGTTATTTCGTGTTTAAAACCATCGAAAGTGTTTTAAATGACTTTTGTGTGCCTTTCCTCAACACTTTACAACTAATTGGAGTTGTGTATTTTTACGGAATTACTAAATTTAGAGACGATGTCCATTTTATGTTGGGAATAAGATCGTCGGTGTTTTGGAACACCCTCTATGTCCTTAATCCCATTTTTCTCGGGATTGTTTTAGCCTACAATGTGCATGATTTTTTCACCACGAGTCTCAATTTTCACACTTTTGGTATTTTTAGGTTAAGTCTTATGTGGTTTATTGTTGTTTTTGTCTCCTTGTATGCTTTTTTCTACATTCTTGTTAGTGTCTTTGGCCACAATTTGAGGGTTTGTGAATCGTCACTGAATTGGGGCCCTCGACATACCTCACTGTTTGTGAGTCGAAAAATGTTTAAGGTTTATAATGTTGCTAAAGAGTATTTGTATCGTCAGGAAAGGTTTAGTCAAGCGGTTGAGGATTAAAAAAAACACTAATAACTTGTATCACATTTATTTATACAATAAAATATTTTACCACAACTGAGCATAAATATCACAATCCCTTTATTTAATACTGAAATAAACCCTGTAATAGCTGATTGTTAAACTACTTCGTTGTTTGATTCGACTAAAAGGGGAAAAAGGACGGTTGAAGACAGTGTTGCCAACACTGGTGATTTTCATGTGTCTAGTGACCACTATTGTCAGAATTCCAGTGTTTGGTGTTTTTTAAGGAAATTAAAAAAACTGCTGTAATTGCGGTATTTCAGGAACATTTTTTTATTGCACAACCGTAAAAGTAACAAATTTCAATTATTGAGCTAGAAATTTGTATTTTGCACGTTTTTCAGTGAGAAACTCAATTATTTCGTTAAAAAAACAAGTCGAAAAATCGCTAAATTGAATCAGCTGGAAATGCAGTTGTTTTGCAAACTTTTTTTGCTAAGACTGTCTGAAAAATATTAAAATTGATATCATTTCAGCTCGATTTAGTTCGTTTTTGAACCAAAGAGTCACCTATAAACGTTAAAAAATCGAAACTAGTCAAAAATTGTGTCATTTTTGCCCTTTTCGAACTTTCAAGCAAGTTTTTTAAATAAAACTTCTAGTTTTTTGAAAGATTTCTCTAAAATAAAGCAAAAAAAATAAGTTTACATAATGTTTGTTTTTCTTGAGTGTTTTAACATATTTTTCAGCTAGAAATGCAATGATTTCTCATAGTTTTGTTGAAAACAAGCAGAAAATTTACCAAATTAGGCTAAAAATTGTTTTATTTTGCAGTTAAAAGTGTAAAAACGTTTTTAAAATACAAATTTTTGCTAAAACTAAATAAAAAAGTACCAAATTATATTGAAACTGATATTA